CGACTCGACGGCAAAACAACAACAACAACAAATCAAATATGAAGGAGCTATGATGGTACAGTGAGTGGTTAATGTATTCAGCTGCTAACCAATTCAGCAGTTCAAACCCACCAGCCACTCCTCAAGGGAAAGATGAGGCAGCCTGCTTCCATAAAGAAGCCTTGGAAACTCTATGGCGCAATTTTATTCTGTCTTATAAGGTTGCTATGAGTTGGCATCAACTTGATAGCAGATTTTAAAATCACATATAGGTGAGACTTTAGGTATTTTCCACCCTAGGGTAAAACTCCTCTTCATCTGGACTCTTTGAAATCTAGAATACAAATTTTCTGTCTCCAAAGGATAATGGTGGAACACATACAAGGTAGACATTTCCATTACAAGTGGGAGAAATTGGAAGGAAATAAGGGATAGTGGGCACCAGTCCTCCAGACTCTGGGTGTTGGCCATGCTCTCTCGATTCTGGGTAAAGGCCCCATGCCCTGGCCATGAGCCCCAGGCTCCCAGGCCTACTGACACAGTAATTATGCTCCCTCAGGTTTTGTTGTTATTTGCTGTCAAGTTGGATCTGACTCATAGCTACCCCTCCTTGGGTTTTCAAGGCAGTGTCACTACGGAAGTAGATTGCCCAACCTTCCTTCTGAGGAGTGGCTGGTGGGTTTGAACCACCAGCCTTCTGGTTAGCAGTCAAGTGCCTTAGGCACTACGCTACCAGAGCTCCTCAGGTTTAGGTGGCACTAATTTCCTAGTCCATCTGAGTGGCCGGCCCATTTACTTAACGCCAACAGGCTCCTGATCCGTCCGTTTTGGGCAGTAGTTCTTCTATCTTCTTGGCCCATTTAAATGGCAAAAACGGAATAAAACTGGTGGGGATCTAACTCTTTGAAACCTAGGAGGCCATAGCCCCACCCTTTGAAACCAAAGCAGTTCTTCTTGCCGTGCTCCTTCCAACAGTTCTGCTGATCTCTCACCTGCTCCAGGGATGGTGCTTTCCTTTCCTAGGAAGCCAACAGATGTTTGGAACCAAGTTGTTCCACTGGCCCGTTTCTGTAGAATCCCAGAAGGCAGACAGCTTTCTTTCATTTTGTACTGTCTCTTTCCCTTTCAGTCTAAGCTGACAGAACTTTTCTTAGGTATTTGAATGAATCCATCAGTCACAGGCTTAGTTTTTTAACAAAAGATTGAGTTACCAAATCCTTGCAGAGAGTTTTAGGGCACATGTCTTTAGTTTATGCAACACAATTTTCCAAATTTTTAAGTTCTGGTTTCATTTTGCACAGCTCATTTTTAAGTCCATCTCTTTCCTCCCATCTTCCAGTATAAAGGGGAAGGAGGAATAAACTGCCCTTTTAAGACCTGGCTTAGCAATATCCTCAGTCAAATATCCAAGTTCATAAATTTTGAATTCTACCTGTAACCAAATATTTGAAGATAATTCAGATGAGCTCTTTGCCACTGCACCCAAAGCATGACCTTCTCTCCAATGTCTAATCACTTGTTCATCATTTCCTTTTAAAATTCCACCAGAAGCACATTTAACATCCACATTTCTAGAAAAATTTGCTGATGGTGCTATGATAGGTATTCTCTGAAACAACAGAGACTTTCTCCACGGCTCTCCTCACTTCCTTTTGAGTCCTCACCAGAATTGATGTCCACAATTTTACCAACAGTCTCTTCAGGGCAATCAGGTTTTAGTGTTTGTTGTTGGGTGCCATTGAGTCATTCTGACTCACAGTGACCTTATCTACAACAGAATCAAACTTCCCAGTCCTACACCATCCTCACAATCATTGCTATGCTTAAGCCCATGGTTGCAGCCACTCTATCAATACAACTCATTGAGGGTCTTCCTCTTTTTTGATGATCCTCTGATTTACCAAGCATGATATCATTCTCCAGGGACTGATCCTTCCTAATAACATGGACCAAAGTACAAGAGATGAAGTCTTGCCTTCCTCATGTCTAAGGGGCATCCCAGCTGTACTTCTTCCAAGATAGATTTGTTCTTTCCTCTGGCAGTCCATAGTATATTCAGTATTGTTTGCCAACACCAAAATTCAAATGCATCAATTCTTCTGTGGTATTCCTTATTTATTGTCCAGCTTTCACATACATATGAGGTGATTGCAAATACAATGGCTTGGCTCAGGCACACCTTAGTCTTCCAAGTGACATCTTTGTACCTTAACACTTTAAAGAAATGTCTTGTGCAGCAGATCTGCCCAATGGAATACATTGTTTGATTTCTTGACTGCTGTCCCTGGGTGTTGATTGTGGATCTAAGTAAAAGGAAATTCTTGACAACATCAATCTTTTGTCCATTTATTGTGATGTTGCTTATTGGCCTACTTGTGAGGATTTCTGTTTTGTAATGTTGAGGTACAATCCATACTGAAGGCTGTAGACTTTGATCTTCATCTGTAGGTGATTCAAGTCCTATTCACTTTCAGCAAGCAAGGTTGTGTTAGGCACCTTCTAATTCCTCCAACCTCCACCAATAACCAAATTACAAAACCATTTTCCCATTTTAGGCATTTGTTAGAGCAGAACCTCGTGTTCTGGCTTCAAATCCTGTCTTAGTTATCTAGTGCTGCTATGACAGAAATAAAAGAAGTGGTTATCTTTAATGAACAGAAATTTATTTTCTCAGTTTAGGAGGCTAGACGTCTGAATTCAGGGCACTGACTACAGGGGAGGGCTCTCTCTGTTTGCCTGCATGGAGGAAGGTCCTTGCTTTTTTTCAGCTTCTGTTCCTAGGTTCCTTGGTGAGCATGTGGCGTGTATCTTCTTCCCTCATTTTCTGCTTGCTTGCTTGCTTGATCTGCTTTTTTATATCTCAAGAGATTGACTTAAAGACACATCCTACACTAATTCTATCTCATTAACATACCAGAGAAGATCTATTACCCAGTGGAATTATAACCACAGGTATAGGGGTGGGATGACTAATGTTATGTGTTAACTTGGCTAGGCTATGATTCTCTGTGGTTTGACAGATACGATGTAATCACTTTTCATTTTGCAATGTGATTTGAACAATCAGTAGAAAGAGGAGTTTCTTTGTGGGTGTGGCCTCTTTCCATTATATAAAAGGATATTCTGGCAAATCTTACTTTTTTTTTCTTTATACTGTTCTCATCATCTGACCTCTGTTTCTTGGGACATAAACCTGCAGAAGTCTCTGGCCTGCCACCTGACCTGCAGATTTTGGGTTTGTCAGCCCCTGAAACTATATAAAACAGCAGAGGTCTTCAGCCTCTCATCTGACCCATGGATGTGGGACTTGCCAGCCCCCACAACTAGGTGAGCTATTTCCTCAAACTTTTGTGAGCCATTTACTTAAAGTAAATTTCTGTCTGTATATATATATATCTACATGCTTCACTGGTTTGGCTCCTCTAGAGAAACAAGACTAAGAAAAAGAGTTAGAATTTACAGCATAAATTTTTTGAGGGACACAATTCAATCCATACCACTAGGTCAACAACATTCACTGATGAATTTTTTTCTAAGCAAGTTGAGAAGATCATTATTAGACTATAAAGTTTTGATATTGGTTCTGCCAATAACTACCTTGAGAAACTTGAAGAAGACACTTAATTTCTATATAATGATAAGATTAGAATATATTATTTCACTGTTTTCATTCAGCTATATTCTTACAAGAACTTTTATGTTTTAACTAGAAAGTACTTACATGATCTGAAACGCCTAAGATTTTAGATGTCAAAAATTTCAAAATAATTGTTCCAAGCCACCAAATACAACCTTGAATTAGCTAGAAAATAAATGAAATAGATGGAAGTCAGGTACTGAAAATACGAATTGCCCAGTTAGAATATTCAATCATATCTATACATGATGGGAAAAATTTTAATCATGCAAGTGAGGTATAAAAAAAGAAGATGAAATATATAGTAACCCTGAAGTTCTAAATGCCCTAAAACTAGAAGAATTTCAAAAGTTATTTCTTTTAAATTTCTGCTAAAATAAGAGAAGGGTTATATGTTTTAAAATATTACTTCTCAGTGAAAAATCTTTTTTTCCCAAAAACACTGTAATAAATTTATTCTACAATTCTTGTGAAAATATAATTTTATGAGCCCTTCCTCAAAACAGGAAAATTTGAAATTTGAAATCTTAAGCCTTCCTTTTAAAGAGAAATATGAACTAAAACTTATAAAGGGAGTTTTTTTTTTCATTCTTCTTAATGATTTTTTGTTTTGTCTAACCTTGATATAAAAAGTAACAAATGTAAACTCCTGGGTAGCCTGAGGAAAATTATAGCAGCTTAAATTAAAATCTCTAAACATATCCTCCAAAAAATTATGCAGGGCAGCAAATGGGACAATATGACCACACATATAGAAAACAGATAACAGAATGACCTTCTGAATACTCGTAAGCAGAATAAAGATACCAAACTCAGCAGTTATATTTCAAGTTCTTGATCTATGCCTTTTCAGAAAGAGAGGAGTCCCATAAAGCTAAATAAAAGAGAAAAGGGATATGAAGGGCCAAAAACTGACCTAAAACACCTCCATAAAAAGAAAGTCTATGTTAAGTGGGGAAAGAGCCTTGGTAGTTTGGAGTGTGTTCTATAGTGTAGGGACTTAAAAGTGTACATGATGAAAAGTGTTGATCTTGAAAGTATTACTTCTGGCAGACAAAGGATAAATAAGGGAGAGGGACCCTTTGAAGAAGGGATGATAAAGGATATAAAACAAGCAAGAAGTTAAAACTTAGTATCCTGCAAGACAAATGAAAAAAAAAAAAAAAATCAGAAGACACTCACTACTTCCATCTCACACACATAGAGTTATCCATTAAAAAAAAAACTGCATGTTGCTATATCGGCAAAAGAGGTTGCACTTGGTCTAGTGCAAAATAATTAGTGCATTGTTGTTGTTGTTGTTGTTATGTGCCATCAAGTCAGCCCCGACTCATAGCGACCCCTCCTTGGGTTTCCGAGGCAGTATCACTACAGCAGTATATTGACAGAGAACTTCCAGAGGTTCAAGCTGGATTCAGAAGAAGACATGGAACAAGGGATATCATAGCTGTTGTCAGATGGATCTTGGCTCAAGGCAAAGAATACCAGAAAGATGTTTACTTGTGTTTTATTGACT